GATGGGCTGAGAGTAAAGATTAGAAACAAGAAATACTGCAATATGGAAAGGTCTTGAGGTAGCTCAGGATAGAGAATAGAATGCCTGAGGAAAAGAAACAAGTCCATTTGGAATGTTGACAACAAGTGAAGGTACAGGAACGGATGGGAGAGGAGAGAAGAGGAATCCATATCATACAGGTCCTGGTAGGCCTTGCAGTTTGGTTTTCATTCTAAAATCAGACTGTGCAGAGGATTGTAGGTCATTAAAAAAAAAAAAATGTTTTAACCTAAAAGCAATGGCAAATCATGAAATGGTAAGCCAGTTGTTCCTTATAAAAGATCATGTAGATTAAGATATTAAAGAATGGGACAAGATTGCCAATAGAGAAAATAGTTACCAAACCTGTTTGATAAGTAAGAGATTGGATCAGTGTGCTGACACTGGAGACTGAATGCAGTAGGTAGATATGAGAAGCTTTTTTTCTGTAGGAATTCAAGACTTGTTGGTGGATTCAGTCCAGGAACATGAGGGAAATGGTTAAATTCGAAGGTGATCATCTGGTTTCTGGTTTATGCAGAAGTGTGCTTATTCACTGATATAACACATACTGGAAAAGGCCAGGTTCGGGCTCAGGATAACAATATGTTTAAGGAAACTTTGATATTCCAAGTGTAGGTATCACCTGGACAGTAGGACCTAGACTCAGAAGAGAGATCTACGGCAAGTACAATATGCAAGTGATTAATACAGCCATGGCACCTACAATATCAATATTCCCCTCCCCCAAAAAACACCAAACAAGTAAGTAGGTTTTATTGAAATTTTATTGAAAACACATTGTTTGGCCTTAAAAGGACATTTTGAAAATAGGCTAAGGTTGAAATGTGGTTTTCCTGGCTACAGTGACTTCCTGGTAAGGAATGAGCATGTTTTGACAATTTTGGATTATTGCTTTTCTGTAACCCATTTGTGCCATGCTCTAAGCTTCAGGCTTCAGTGAGAATGGCATATCACAGATTTAGTGCCTTTAAAACCAGGATATTATGTCTTTTTCTAATACTTCTTTTTGGGTTTTAAATCCAACTTGTTGCATGAGATTATTTAAAATACATGGCTTATTCTTAGCTTGATGGCAAATTTGCAAAAATATATCACACTGAGGATTCAGATATTTGTATTCATAGCCTGCACTTTACAATAAATTGGTTATGGGAAGCAGGTAGTGGCCTAAGAGGTTAGAAATTTGAGGCATGAAAAACAATGACTTTGTGATTTAACCAGGACAGTCAAGGATGAAATTAAATAGATTAGGGAACTCCGTTTCCAAGGTACAGGCATCATCAGCTAACCTGCCTTTCATGGGCTGGACAAATTATCCATAGGCCATAGAGAACAGCATCACCCAGCCCCCAATTGCTTTCTAATCTTCATTTTGATGTCCATTTGGATATTTTGCATACACAATACATCCCTGGCTATTCCATCCAAAATTACTTCTTTTCAAGACAATTATGAATATACGTTGTTGTTGAAAATATTTTTGGGCCTTTCAAAACTAATTAATCATGCTTTCATGAATGCATCATTCCAAAACAAACATTTTAGCTGTTGTGAACAATGCCATTAGTAGGTTATTTTTAGATATCTGACTAATCTCTCTTCACTAGCATTGTTAGTCTTTAAAGAAATTACATCACTTTTGGTTTGATTACAAATAACTGAAGTATTTGTTAGATATGAGACTATCTTACTGTGGGGGTGGTGCCTGGGTGGCTCAGTCGTTAAGTGTCTGCCTTTGGCTCAGGTCATGATCCCAGGGTCTTGGTATCGAGCCCCTCGTCAGGCTCCCTGCTCACCTGGAAGTCTGCTTCTCCCTCTTCCACTCCCCCTGCTTGTGTTCCGTTTCTTGTTGAGTCTCTCTCCATCAAATAAATAAAAATCTTAAAAAAAAAAAAAAGACTATCCTACTGGGGTGAGGGGAAGGTGGAGTCTGCTGGAAGAGGAAAGCTTAGGGAAAGTCTCCTAATGCAGACTAAGCGGGAGGAGCCACAGCTGAGCCTCTATGTTGAAGATGTAGTGAAAACAGAGACTTCCAGCAGCTCTCATGGAGGACGTTCAAATGGGAGGTTGTAGCTGGGCAGACTGTAGCTCAGGAAAAATCAATACACGTTCTTTAAGACCATCTCTTAAGAACTGGTTACTAAGGTGGAATGTAATGAATATGATGGTTACTAATGTTGTTAAGATGATTATGATGGCGATTTGGTCTGATGAGCTCTTGTGAGAAAGACATACTCGTCTTTGCTGTGGTGTAATGTGTGACATGGAACATCGTGGGCACTAAAGGAATACAGAGAAGAGTCACTGAATCTGGACTAACAACAAGGAAGATTTTCTGGAAGGGGGGATGCCTTGCCAGGTTTTTTTAAAAAAAGAAATAGAAGTCAAGCCAGGGAAGAAGAGAAGGAGGAAGGACGTTTGAGCAGATGGCACAGCCAACAAGAATTGGGTTGGTTGTGACTAGGGAATGGATTGAGTGGAGGGGTCAGGGGGTTAGTTAGAGCTGGGAGGTGGGGAGTCGCACTTGGCTTAGCTGAGTAGAGAAAGCATATCCATACATTTAATGATACCAAAAAAAGTTACTTGGAGAAGTAACTACTCTCTAAAGGACAAAGGGAAGAGATGTTTGGTAACATGAGAACTGCTTCTGGAAAGAACTGGTCAGGTTTCGTTTATCCTCTTCTGCACAAATGGCCTCTGCCTTCTTGTGTATCCCATTTCCACTCCCCACATGCATTGTCTCTTTTTGATTTTAATCATTTATGTTGTCAGTGAACTGATTAAGGAATTGCCTCCACATGGACCACGTTGCCCTACACTTGTGTGATTGTTTATGCAACTTTGTTCTCGTTAGTGTCCAACCTGTTTCACCTGAGACCTTTGAAGAACAGAGCTGTTAATTTTGTATTCCCATGTTCAGCACAGTGTAATTCATCTACAAATTTTCCTGAATGAATGAATAATGTTTGACTGTGTAGAGGAATACAAAACTAGATGAAAATATATGAGAACATGAAGTAAAAGACAAATTCCAAGTGGGAATGTGGGCAAGTTTTCATGAAATAGGAGAAATCATGTTCTACCAAAATGAGCAGAGCTTTGCTGGGCAGAAGAGAGGCAAGAATGAATTCAGTTAACAGAACTTCCCTAAACATACAAAGTATGTTCCTGCAAGAGTCAGGGGTCTGATATAGCTGAAAGGCACAAAGCTTAATTGTAAATAAACCATGTTGAGATCTGACATCTTTTGAAATGTTGTCCTAAACCACTTAGATTTGAAAAGCTTTAAATGGTATCGTAAGAAAGTTTTCTGTACTCCAGAGGAAACATACACGGTTTTGTGAAGAGAGGTGCCATTATTTTACCTTTGATTTGGGTGCATGAATGTAATTCTCACGGGATGATGAATCGATGAACACATGGTGATAACAAAGCTTCTGGGAGGTAGTGAGGAAATCATTGCAAGAGCAGGAGTGACAGTGTATGTCGGGGGTGGAGGAAGGAGGAGGAGTGTAATGAGTATGAGATATTTTAAATCTAAAATGTTGTGACCTGGAATTCCTTGAATATTAATGAGGAGGCAAAGAAAAACACCGGAGACCTCTGAGATTTTCAGCTTCACATGAGACAGCATGTACTTTACAGTATAGAATGGAGCATACTGAAGGCTTTATTATTCATGCCCATGTGCATAATGGAGTTCGAATGAATGAATGGACAAATGAATGAATGAATAAATAACCTCAGAATCTTCCAAATAACAGACATACTTGGACGGCTTTAAGCAAATCTGTCTTACGCTGTAGTCAAAGGACTGTGCTTTGGAGCCATAACTGCCAACACAGCCCCATCAGGCTCACGGAAGACCTCCGAGAGTGCTGTACGTCTCACAAGCATAGCTGTGACATCTTGTGGGGAAAGCCTTCACATGTTAATTATCGTGGATAGTATAGCTCATGGTACTTTCTACATGTTCATTATCATGAGACCCTTGGCAAGGTATTAGCAGGGTATCAGATGACAAATCAGTCATCTCTCCTGATGGACAGGCACTATCCTTAAGGTTCATTCAACATAGGGATAATAGACTGTTCAGAAGTAACTCGTATTTACCTTTTCACAGAAAGTATATAAATGTACTTTATAGTATTTGCAAGCCTATCCATAATAAAGTTTGCAGATGCTAATGACATACATTATTAAGTTACTGTGTTAATATTACCTTAAGACTAGAAAATCTGAGAGAAGGATTTTATGTATTTCTTTTCCTCAAGTCATTATGTGATGTATCTGTTGTTATATAGTGCTATTTATTATCTTTCAATCCACACTAAATATATACATATATTCTTTCTTCCTTTCTTTCTTCCATTTTTCTGATCTGCTTCCATTGATGACTCTATACTTTTGACTCCAGACTGGCAATATGAGGGTAAGATGACAAAAATAAAAATGCCAAACAACCTCATGAACACTGCTTGTCTGTCTTTGTTTCATTCTCTTTAGAACATTATTAAAATTCTATTCACTCCCTTTAATTAGACCCTTTATCATAATTAAAGTCCAATTATGTTTGTTTCTGTTGTGAAGCTTTAATTACAATTTATCCTTGTTAATCATTCCTTTATGTTATTTCTTTGGGTTAAATTACCATCCCATTATCTCTGTCCTGAAGGACTTCTGCTCTCCAGTGGTCTCTGCTAGTGTTTTCTCAGTAAGATTTGAGTAGTTTTGTGGTGTACAAAGTGATTGTGTTATGATGTTGCAAGGAATCTATGTGGTTCTCATGAAGTTTTTTTAAGCTAAAAAATTATTAAAAGTAAAGTAATGATGCCTATCGATTTGATTGTAGGATTTTTCTTTTTTAAATACTAATGAATTTCATCTCAGTGAATTTCATCTCAGGGTGAGTGTCCTGCAGTTGCTCCTTCTTACCTTTGGTTGTTTTCTCTCTTTAGACTGCAAACTAGCTAGGGGAGGACCACCAGCCACCATAGTTGCTATCGATGAAGAGAGTCGGAATGGTGAGTGAACTTCGCATTTTACAAATGACTTCTCTTCTCCTTTCAACCCCAGACTTGTTATGTGTGGAAGTACTAAAGGAAAGCTGCAGCCCAAATCCACAAACAGCACTCCCTTAATTTCTTCCCTGTATGGGCTTGAATTAGGACCTATGCTGGAAATGCTTTACTTGTTTAATATAGGAGAAACTTCTCCATGACTAGAAAGGTTGTTCGTTCTTGATCGTAAAGGAGCATTTTATTCAGGATCAGTCCAAAAGAGTGCTTCCAGATAGGGCTGGGGTTTTTCTTTGTCAGTGGGTAGAGTTGACTATTGTGCATACAAAACACCTTGTCACCTCAGTAAGATAGACTGCATTCTTCCAAAAGAAGTGGACCACAAGGTAAGCCTTCCACAGCCCGCTTACGCTGGCTGGAATCTGGTAAGGTTTAAGCTCCATAGTCCACCAGACATGGGCATTTATGAGTGGTTAATGGTAAAACTGAAAATTCTTAGGAACAGAGAACCTGACCAAAGGTTCTGAGAGCAGAGGAAGAAGCTTGCGTGTTGGTTCAGGTTGTCTGCCATAAAGAACAACTAATATCAAATCCATTTTACATTCTTCAAGAAGTACTTTTCCTTATCAAAACCAAAAATAAATACATTTGACGCTTTGTTCTACAATTCTCTCTGAGCCTCTTTTATCTTCAGTGTGTGAGTGTTTGCAGATTCTTCTCCTCTGTTAGGACTGCAGTAAAACAGTATCTCTTGAGGCTTGGTTTCTGTTTCAAACTACTCTAAGTGTGCGAGTGTGCTCTGAGGCACAGTTTGTGTACTAATTCCACAGTGGGCTTTCCACTGGGCTTCCACTGGGTTTGTTTGGTCCATGTTTTCTGTCTTCTTGAAAAAAGTCTGTCTTCCAGACTTATATATACATATACATATGGGGCTTATTAGAGAATGATCTTTTTTCCTGGAATTTAACCCACATATATCTTGAAGCCTTCTATGACATAAGTGATACCTTCATTGTTCCATGTTAGAAACATTCCTTTATTCCTTCGAAGAGTTGGCCTAATTCTTTTTCTTCTTGCATATCCTTTGGAATTAGCCAAAAATGTCCATAGCTTTGCTGGCCTCTGTTTAAACAAAATAAATGATCCGTACTAAATTTTAGCAACATTTAAAAAATCACAAAACCTTGAGTTTTCTCATTATTTTTAAAAAGCCAGTCTGGGGGTGCCTGGGTGGCTCAGTCGTTAAGCTCCTGCCTTTGGCTCAGGTCATGATAGTGGTCCTGGGATCGAGCCCCACATTGGGCTCTCTGCTTAGTGGGAAGCCTGCTTCTCCCTCTCATGCTCCTCCAACTTGTGTTCCCTCTCTCACTGTGTCTTTCTCTGTCAAATAAATAAATAATATCTTAAAAAAAAAAAAGGCCAGTCTGTGTTGAGCCTGAAAGCAGATAAAGTTGATGCATTATTATGATGTTTTTGAATAAGTTCGAAGTAAATCTATGTGTGTCTACAGAAAATGAAAAAAAAAAGAATACGGAAAAATTTTTTTCATACATGTAGAAAATCATGGTTTACTTATCATTAACTATTTTTTGAAATACAAATCTATAATATTTCAAAAACAAATCTACAGGGAAAACAGTTTGTCTTTTTTTTTTTTTTAATTTTATTTTTTTTTAAACATATAATATCTTTTTATCCCCAGGGGTACAGGTCTGTGAATCGCCAGGTTTACACACTTCACAGCACTCACCATAGCACATACCCTCCCCAATGTCCATAATCCCACCCCCCCAACCCCCCTCCACCCATTAACCCTCAGTTTGTTTTGTGAGATTAAGAGTCACTTATGGTTTGTCTCCCTCCCAATCCCATCTTGTTTCATTTATTCTTCTCCTACACCCTTAACCCCCCATGTTGCATCTCCTCTCCCTCATATCAGGGAGATCATATGATAGTTGTCTTTCTCCGATTGACTTATTTTGCTAAGCATGATACCCTCTAGTTCCATCCACGTCGTCGCAAATGGCAAGATTTCATTTCTTTTGATGGCTGCATAGTATTCCATTGTGTATATATACCACATCTTCTTTATCCATTCGTCTGTTGATGGACATCTAGGTTCTTTCCATAGTTTGGCTATTGTAGACATTGCTGCTATAAACATTCGGGTGCACATGCCCCTTCGGATCACTACGTTTGTATCTTTAGGGTAAATACCCAGCAGTGCAATTGCTGGGTCATAGGGGAGTTCTATTTTCAACATTTTGAGGAACCTCCATACTGTTTTCCAGAGTGGTTGCACCAGCTTGCATTCCCACCAACAGTGTAGGAGGGTTCCCCTTTCTCTGCATCCTCGCCAGCATCTGTCATTTCCTGACTTGTTAATTTTAGCCATTCTGACTGGTGTGAGGTGGTATCTCATTGTGGTTTTGATTTGTATTTCCCTGATGCCGAGTGATATGGAGCACTTTTTCATGTGTCTGTTGGCCATCTGGATGTCTTCTTTGCAGAAATGTCTGTTCATGTCCTCTGCCCATTTCTTGATTGGATTATTTGTTCTTTGGGTGTTGAGTTTGCTAAGTTCTTTATAAATTTTGGACACTAGCCCTTTATCTGATATGTCATTTGCAAATATCTTCTCCCATTCTGTCAGTTGTCTTTTGGTTTTGTTAACTGTTTCCTTTGCTGTGCAAAAGCTTTTGATCTTGATGAAATCCCAATAGTTCATTTTTGCCCTTGCTTCCCTTGCCTTTGGCGATGTTCCTAGGAAGATGTTGCTGCGGCTGAGGTCGAAGAGGTTGCTGCCTGTGTTCTCCTCAAGGATTTTGATGGATTCCTTTCTCACATTGAGATCCTTCATCCATTTTGAGTCTATTTTCGTGTGTGGTGTAAGGAAATGATCCAATTTCATTTTTCTGCATGTGGCTGTCCAATTTTCCCAACACCATTTGTTGAAGAGGCTGTCTTTTTTCCATTGGATATTCTTTCCTGCTTTGTCGAAGATTAGTTGACCATAGAGTTGAGGGTCTATTTCTAGGCTCTCTATTCTGTTCCATTGATCTATGTGTCTGTTTTTGTGCCAGTACCATGCTGTCTTGATGATGACAGCTTTGTAATAGAGCTTGAAGTCCGGAATTGTGATGCCACCAACTTTGGCTTTCTTTTTCAATATTGCTTTGGCTATTCGAGGTCTTTTCTGGTTCCATATAAATTTTAGGATTATTTGTTCCATTTCTTTGAAAAAAATGGATGGTACTTTGATAGGAATTGCATTAAATGTGTAGATTGCTTTAGGTAGCATAGACATTTTCACAATATTTATTCTTCCAATCCAGGAGCATGGAACATTTTTCCATTTCTTTGTGTCTTCCTCAATTCCTTTCATGAGTACTTTATAGTTTTCTGTGTATAGATTCTTAGTCTCTTTAGTTAGATTTATTCCTAGGTATCTTATAGTTTTGGGTGCAATTGTAAATGGGATGGACTCCTTAATTTCTCTTTCTTCTGTCTTGTTGTTGGTGTAGAGAAATGCAACTGATTTCTGTGCATTGATTTTATATCCTGACACTTTACTGAATTCCTGTACAAGTTCTAGCAGTTTTGGAGTGGAGTCTTTTGGGTTTTCCACATATAGTATCATATCATCTGCGAAGAGTGATAGTTTGACTTCTTCTTTGCCAATTTGGATGCCTTTAATTTCCTTTTGTTGTCTGACTGCTGAGGCTAGGACTTCTAGTACTATGTTGAATAGCAGTGGTGATAACGGACATCCCTGCCGTGTTCCTGACCTTAGCGGAAAAGCTTTCAGTTTTTCTCCATTGAGAATGATATTTGCGGTGGGTTTTTCATAGATGGCTTTGATAATATTGAGGTATGTGCCCTCTATCCCTACACTTTGAAGAGTTTTGATCAGGAAGGGATGCTGTACTTTGTCAAATGCTTTTTCAGCATCTATGGAGAGTATCATATGGTTCTTGTTCTTTCTTTTATTAATGTGTTGTATCACATTGATTGATTTGCGGATGTTGAACCAACCTTGCAGCCCTGGAATAAATCCCACTTGGTCGTGGTGAATAATCCTTTTAATGTACTGTTGAATCCTATTGGCTAGTATTTTGGCGAGAATTTTTGCATCTGTGTTCATCAAGGATATTGGTCTGTAGTTCTCTTTTTTGATGGGATCCTTGTCTGGTTTGGGGATCAAGGTGATGCTGGCCTCATAAAATGAGTTTGGAAGTTTTCCTTCCATTTCTATTTTTTGGAACAGTTTCAGGAGAATATGAATTAGTTCTTCTTTAAATGTTTGGTAGAATTCCCCCGGGAAGCCATCTGGCCCTGGGCTTTTGTTTGTTTGGAGATTTTTGATGACTGTTTCAATCTCCTTACTGGTTATGGGTCTGTTCAGGCTTTCTATTTCTTCCTGGTTCAGTTGTGGTAGTTTCTATGTCTCTAGGAATGCATCCATTTCTTCCAGACTGTCAAATTTGTTGGCGTAGAGTTGCTCATAGTATGTTCTTATAATTGTCTGTATTTCTTTGGTGTTCGTAGTGATCTCTCCTCTTTCATTCATGATTTTATTTATTTGGGTCCTTTCTCTTTTCTTTTTGATAAGTCTGGCCAGAGGTTTATCGATCTTATTAATTCTTTCAAAGAACCAGCTCCTAGTTTCATTGATTTGTTCTATTGTTTTTTTGGTTTCTATTTCATTGATTTCTGCTCTGATCTTTATGATTTCTCTTCTCCTGCTGGGTTTAGGGTTTCTTTCTTGTTCTTTCTCCAGCTCCTTTAGGTGTAGGGTTAGGTTGTGTACCTGAGACCTTTCTTGTTTCTTGAGAAAGGCTTGTACCGCTATATATTTTCCTCTCAGGACTGCCTTTGTTGTGTCCCACAGATTTTGAACCGTTGTGTTTTCATTATCATTTGTTTCCATGAATTTTTTCAACTCTTCTTTAATTTCCTGGTTGACCCATTCATTCTTTAGAAGGATGCTGTTTAGTCTCCATGTA